GTGTTAGTGTATGCAGTGTGTGTGTTAATGTATGCAGTGTGTGTTGTGTTAGTGTATGCAGTGTGTGTATGTGTGTGTCAGTGTATGCAGTGTGTGTTGTGTTAGTGTATGCAGTGTGTGTGTGTTGTGTTAGTGAATGCAGTGTGTGTGTGTTATTGTATGCAGTGTCTGTTGTGTTAGTGTATGCAGTGTGTGTTGTGTTAGTGTATGCAGTGTGTGTTGTGTTGGTGAATGCAGTGTATGTGTGTGTTTTTTTATGCAGTGTGTGTTGTGTTAGTGTATGCAGTGTGTGTTGTGTTAGTGTATGCAGTGTGTGCTGTGTTGGTGAATGCAGTGTATGTGTGTGTTATTGTATGCAGTGTGTGTTGTGTTAGTGAATGCAGTGTATGTGTGTTAGTGTATGCAGTGTGTGTGTGTGTTAGTGTATGCAGTGTGTGTGTGTGTGTGTTTTAGTGTATGCAGTGTATGTGTTGTGTTAGTGAATGCAGTGTATGTGTGTGTTAGTGTATGCAGTGTGTGTGTGTGTGTGTTAGTGTATGCAGTGTATGTGTGTGTTAGTGTATGCAGTGTATGTGTGTTAGTGAATGCAGTGTATGTGTGTGTTATTGTATGCAGTGTGTGTTGTTAGTGTATGCAGTGTGTGTGTTGTGTTAGTGAATGCAGTGTGTGTGTGTTAGTGTATGCAGTGTATGTGTGTGTTATTGTATGCAGTGTGTGTGTTGTGTTAGTGTATGCAGTGTATGTGTGTGTTATTGTATGCAGTGTGTTGTTAGTGTGTGATCTGGGGTGAGGGGGAGGAAGGGGCATTTTAACATTAATTTTTTATTAATTTAATTAAATGTTTCTCCCCCCTCCCTGCTTACCTGTGTCCATGGAGGGGGGAGATTCCATCCCTGGTGGTCCGGTGGGGGGCCCCCCGGCTCCCTGTTACCGCAGAGGGGGCCCAGGCAGCACACAGCTTCTCCTCTCTTCTCATAACTCTCGCGAGACCCGGTTACCATGGCAACGCTCCGCGGGTCTCGCGAGAGTTATGAGAAGAGAGAAGACAGGAGGAGAAGCTGTGTGCTGCCTGGCTGGGCCCCCACTGCGGTAACAGGGAGCAGGGGGCCCGCGGCTGCACACATAGATAGCGATATTCGCTATCTATGTGTGCAGAAAGGGAAAGTGGGGCCCAGGACTGCCAGAGCAGTCCGGGCCCCCCTGGGCCGCCGGGCCCGTGACAACAGTCACGGTTGTCACCCCCTGATGGCGGCCCTGAGGCTATCCCTGATCCTGACTTCCTGGTACCTGCGGAGGTGGATCATTTAATTGCCCGGGTCAGAGAAACCCTTACCTTGAAGGAACCCTCAGAGGAGGAACCATCTACATCTAACCGCTATTTCTCTGATCTTAGAAGAAAAAGAGCGGCTTTCCCTGTGCATGCCACAATTAGTGACCTTATTAAAGAAGAATGGTCCAGGTGTGACCGGAGATCATCTGCAAAAGGGAAGTTCTCCAGATTATATCCGTTTCATTCCAAAGATGCTGAAACATGGGATTTTCCACCTAAAGTTGATGCTGCAGTGGTCAGACTAGCCAAGCACACTACCCTTCCTGTAGACGATGCAGGTTCCTTCAGGGATCCTATGGATCGTAAGATGGAATACTACCTTTCCAAATCCTATGTAGCCTCAGGCACAAGTGCTCTCACGTCAGTTACAAGAGCTATGAAGGTTTGGATACAGGAGCTGGAAGGGGACATCATGAGTGGCAGAAGCCGTTCTTCCATTGTGGAGGACCTAAGAGATATGCGTCTAGCAATTGATTTTTCATCAGAAGCTGCAGTGGATCTGGTAAGGAGCCTTGCTAGAAATATGTCCTTCTCGATTTCCTCTAGGCGAGCACTTTGGCTCAGATCTTGGGCAGCTGATGCTTCCTCCAAGAATAGTTTGTGTTCTTTGCCATTTCACGGGAGTATGTTATTTGGCAAGAATTTGGACGAATGCATTAAGAGGGCGGCTGAAGGGAATAAAGCCTTTCTACCTCAGGAGAGGAAGTATAAAGGATCCTTTCGTGCCCGGAAAGAGTACCATTCCTTTCGTGACAGTAGGTCCTACAAGCCAGGCAGAGAATATTCCAGATTTCAACCTGGGAGAGGAGCCCCATCTGGAAACAGAGGAGGCAAGTCACACGGTTCATCTTCCTCTAAAAACCCGAGGAATCTATGACTATATAATTCCCAAATCCGAAGGTGTCGGGCTTGTCTTCTCCAATATCTACCGATATGGGAAGTATCCACAAGCGACGGTTGGGTACTGGATATTATTCGGAGAGGTTACTTGATAGAATTCCTCGAGCATCCTCCAAGCAGGTCCTTTCACCTCACAAAGTGGCCAGGGGACAAGGAAAAGTGCATGGCCCTACAAGACTTCATCCTTTCCTTGCAGAAGGAGAAGGTTATCACCAAAGTGCCAGCTGGCGAAAGAACTCAAGGGTTTTACTCCCACATCTTCTTAACGAAGAAATCCTCAGGGGGATGGAGACCCATTCTGGATCTACACAGGCTAAACAAGCATCTGCACATTCGCAGGTTCAAAATGGAATCCCTACAGTCTATAATAAAAGTAGTGTCACCCAACCAATGGATGCTGTCTATAGATCTGTTAGATGCATATTTTCACATACCCATTGCCCAAACTCATCAAAAGTTTCTGAGGTTTGCTGTGGAAGAAGGTCACTTCCAGTTCAGGGCCCTCCCCTTTGGACTGAGCACAGCTCCGAGGACATTTACAAAGGTCCTGATTGTTCTCATTGCAGAACTCAGAAAGCAGAACATTGCGATTTACCATTATTTGGACGACATCTTGATCTTAGGAAACAACGTAGATTCTCTGACATCCCATGCTATTACCAGCATTCAGTTTCTGCAAGCTCACGGCTGGAAGATCAACACCAAGAAGAGCCACCTCCACCCAACGCAATCTATGGTTTACTTAGGTGCTCACTTCGACACTCTAAAGGGCACTGTCCAACTTTCATCAGCAAGAATACGGAAACTCAAGATGTTATTGAGAAGAATGCTGATATCCAGGGTGGCCCCTGCAAAGGCCATAATGAGCCTCCTTGGTTCCATGTCCTCCACAATAGTGGAGGGCACAGTGAATAATGAGACCATTCCAAGCCAATTTCCTGAGACAATTCTCCTCCGGGAACCTGCACCAACCCATCAAACTTTCCCTGAATGTACGCCATTCTCTAATCTGGTGGTTAAACAGGGAGCACCTATCAAAGGGTTTTCCACTAGGAGATATCGCGTGGATAACTGTGACAACGGATGCCAGCCAGTGGGGATGGGGCGCTCATTGTCTCCACGACTTTGTGCAGGAAGAATGGAGTTTCAGGACAAACAATGTTCATTCCAATTGCCTAGAGCTTCTGGCTGTCCTCAAAGCATTGAAACACTTCTCGATTCATCTCAAGGGGCAATGGGTGAAGATAAGGACGGACAACTCTACCGTAGTATCCTATGTCAATCACCAAGGGGGTACCAGGAGCTGCAAGATGATGGAAATCATGAATCACCTGATGTGGTGGGTTCAGAGAAACCTGGCGGGCCTTACTGCCATCCATCTACCAGGGAAACAGAATCAACTGGCGGATTTTCTCAGCAGATCCAGGATAGATCCGGGGGAATGGTGCCTCTCAGACAGTGTATTCCGCATGATTGTGGACAAATGGGGTCTCCCTCAAGTAGACCTTCTAGCCACTCGGGCCAACAGAAAAGTAAAGCTTTTCTTCACGAAAGAAGATGACCACCTAGCACTGGGGAGGGATGCTTTATCAAGCCCCTGGAGGTTCAGGATGGGCTATGCGTTTCCTCCGTTTCCACTAATTCTCCCGCTCCTGAGGAAGATGAGAACAGAGCAGGTGTCTCTCATCCTGATTGCGCCTTATTGGCCTCGAAGACCCTGGTTTCCTCTGCTTCAAAGTCTTTTGGTGGAACCTCCTCTCCCACTCCCCAGAACTCCGGACCAATTTCGACCTTAAGTCACCTCCTCCTTTCACATCAACGAGGATATTGTTCTTCCATCTCTGAGGTCTGACCTCCAAGAAATGGAGAATTCTACTAACCTATCTTCTCTGGATCTAGTAAGATGCCTCCAGATATATATTGATAGGACTTCTGCTTGGCGTACTTCTCACAGTCTTTTCGTCCTTCATTGCGTCTGTAAAAAGGGCTCACAAGCTCCCAAATCTACCATTAGCAGGTGGATAGTAGCAGCTATTATTCTGGCTTATCAATCTGCTGGATATCCGGTCCCTGTGGGTCTTAAAGCCCATTCCACGAGGGCTCTCTCATCTTCCTGGGCAGCCGCTGCTAATGTTTCTCCTGAACTCATTTGTAAAGCAGCTACATGGTCTTCCTCTAACACGTTCATTAAGAGCTACCAAATTGATGTTAGAGCAGGTCTATCTGATCAATTTGCTAAATCAGTTCTGTCTGTATCCGAAGCCTGATTTCTATGTTTTCACTTGTTGTGGTGTTAATACACTTTGCATTCAAAATTTTGGAGTCTGTGTCTCTTTCCCTCCCTGGTTTATTGCTTGGGTATTACCCAATGTTGTGCTGCCATGGATATGGCCAGGAAAATGGAAAATTTATTCATACTTACCGTAATTTTCTTTTCCTGGCCATATGCCATGGCAGCACAAGGGTCCCACCCGGGGCTATTGCTGGAAAACATGACTGGGGAAGGGGGGTAGGAGGTGGTACTTATACAGCTTAATAATTATTCCTGTCCAATGGGGATAGGGAGGAGCTATCCAATGTTGTGCTGCCATGGCATATGGCCAGGAAAAGAAAATTACGGTAAGTATGAATAAATTTTCCATTATATATATATATATATATATATATATATATATATATATATGTAATGAGCATGCATTGGCCCTGTCTTGTTGCTAGTTGCATACTCATGCACAATAGCATATTCAAAGTGAAGAGCGGACCCATAGAACTTCAAAATTAACCAGATCACTTCATTTTTTTAGTTGTGCAACTGCAGACATTCAGCATTTCAGTACCATTACTAAATTGTCCTTAATAGGCCAAAGTAGTTGTACTGAAACATTGATTACATTCAAATGTACGTCTACTTAAAATAAAGGCGCTCTTTTGTTTATTTTGAAGCCCTACATGTGTTCCTTATTTGGAGTAAGAGTTTTCAATTTCAAGTTATTTTTTCACCCTCTTTATCAGCATACTATGCTGGTGCGACGCATTATTGGGCTGGTATAGAATTTTTTTCCAGGGCTGATTTTAGTTCCCAGACCGGCCCTGCTCCTACATGTGTGTGTTAAAAACTAATAAAATAGATGATTTACTCACTGTTTTCCATCAGTATCGCTTACCTCTCTTCCTCCTATGACGTCAAGGAGTATGCATTGCCTCCTCCATGATTGTCCAATCCAATGGTCCTTATAGAGAAGCATAGGTGCCGGATATGAATGCATAGCAAGTGCCACACATGCATCTTTGTTTCCCAAAGGAAAGCATTGAATCAATGAGAGCTTCCACATCACGTGACCGATTTTTACTCAGAATGACAGCAACTAGAGGTGGACTTAGCCATGCTATGTAAACATTCTAACTAAGCCTGCAGTGTTCTACGTCCCAGGGTTAAAACTAAAGTGGGTGACTTTAGTGGTCCTTTAAGTATTAGTGTTAACTCTAAGCACCATGACCAGTTTTGTTCATTGTAGTGGACATAGA